TTGGTCACTATGTAAAGCCCCCCCCCCACTCCCCCCGCAACGAGGCTAATTTGAAACCTGGCCTGTGCCTCTTTCCAAAGGGAAGGGGCTGAGGGAAGTCGGGAAGGAAGCCCATCCCCACCTCCACCTGCATCTGTCTGGGTTCAGCCAGGTAAAGGGGCGTCACTCCCATTGGGGTCCCCTCTGCAGGGTAGGGGTCACCCTGCCTGTGGCTCCATGACACGGTGAGGGGCAGCCCCATCCCTGAGTGGTCCCTTTTTTGGTGCCTCCTACATTTCTTGAGGAAAAAAATAAAATATGTGTCCTTAGCTACCCTGTTTTGAGCAGCAATATGCAGCCTCTTCCTTCCAAGATTACCTCTGGAGAATACCATTCTTGGCCAAGGACACTGAGGAGTTAAATCTGCCTCACTAAAGAGAGATCTTGTTTCCAAGAAATTCAGATAAGATGGGTAAAATCCTCACTAGCAAAAGAATACTTTAAAACCTTCGAGAGCCTTAGAATAGCTTCTAATAACCCTAAGAAAGAGAGGAGATAGCGCCCAGCTTTGCTGTGGGTGTTTCCTCAGAAAATGCAGGAGGTAGACCATCTCTTCATTGGAGCCAGCTTCTCCTTCTCCAGAAAGGATGCTTTTCCCTCTGACATAAAGAGCAGCAAAAAATAATAATAATAATAATAATAATAAAATTTTAAAAAGGAGGGGATTTTTTTTACTTGTTTGAAGAATTATAGTAAACTAATTTGAGTATCTCCTGTAATTCCTTTTTGTTTTTAATTATTCCACAGCACGTGGGGTTTTCAGTAATTTATCCAAGTTTTGCATAAGTGGTTCCTTAAAATTATTTATTAAATAGAATCTTTAAAAAATTTTTTGGAAGTTTTACTTTTCATGCCGAACAATACTTTCAATGTGTGGTAATTACATCCATGTCCCTCATATTACTGGGGTTTCTTTTGTTACTCAGAAAAAAAAAGTAATTTTTTAAATATCTCTCATCACGAGGGTTTGTGGCAGCTTTTTGGACTGATTCTTTGTGCCCTGCTAGGCAACTGCTTTGCCACCCAAAGTTGAGGTCACAGGAAGTATTGCATCACATATAGACACTGGCCATGGCACTAGCCCCTCACTTTAGAAGGTTGAGAGCCAGCCTCGAAAATGCTTAATTGTGCGTTTAGAAACCAAACTCCTGTGCACAAGTCAAGAAGGCATAAAGTAAAATTATATTCGTGTTTTAATTTTTTAATGTTAAAGCAGCCAACCAGAAATTTCCAAAACTGGCTATGCAAATATTTTATCTTTCTCATGCCATGGTTAAAAAAAAAAAAGAAAAAGGCAAACTGAGAAAAATAAACACAGTCCATTGCAATACCAGAGGAAAACCTTCAAAACTAGGCAGTGCAATCCATAGGTATTATTTAAAAATGGTGACTTATTCTATCTCCTTGAATTTCGAAGTCTCCTCTTCCCCACCCCATCTGACAGATGTGCCATGAATAAGAGCCTGAGATCTAGCTCTGGGTGGCTTCTCCAGCCATGTGGAAGGCCCCCAACTTAGCATGGTCATGAGGTGGCTGGGCCTGCCAGTACATCTGTGAGTGCTTGTCCACATGGTTTACAAATAGCTGTTTCCTTTTGTGAGGGATCTGGATCCCTTCCTCTAAACAGTATTGAAATCGTGAGAGAACCTACTGTTACATCAAATGTACTAGTCCAGTGTACCAGGAACACTCCATGTTGTTCAAAAGAGCTCTCTAGATCAGGTCCATAGCCAAAGTTCTCTCAAACCAAATTAGTTTATCAGGCTGAACAGTAACTATCAGAACTGCTGTATTGTTTACATGTGGGCCAAGAGGTCCTCTCAAATCCTTCTGTGACTTGGGGACCTTTTGTGGATCAGGGAAAGGTTAAATGGATCATAGGCACTGGAGAAAAGGAAGAGAGTCCCAATTCTAGAAAACCTGAGAACCTCACTGGGGTACACACCCTGGGCTCAGGGTACATGGCAGACCCTGCCTGTGAGTGGCCTTGTCTGATATAGCCAGAATTCCCTTTCCGGGAAGGTCAGATGTCTCTAAGTGACAGCAAATTTCCAGAAGGATCCTAGATACTTCTAAACCCCAGTGGAGGTTAATTCAGTAATTTACTTCACATTTCCCGCACACACGAGACCCAGGTATATGATTTTTTTTCAAATAATATATTGTTAAAGGAAGGTGTTTTTACGTGTATTCTGTTTGTAGATTTTATGCTATGTTACACTGAAATTTTACAAGCCAAGTTCAAACTGTACCATAGAAATTATTTTTATATTATTTCCAGAATATGCCACAGAGCAATATTTTGCGCCCTTATATTGTCACAGGGTTGTCCCCTTAGAAGGGTTACCATAGGTGGGAAGGGGCTCTGTACTGCGGGCTCTTGAGTTTAAGTGCTTTTTGCTATTTGTTCATATCCTCTCTGAAAGTGGGAATATGTAAATGTGTTTTCTTTCTTTATTGGAAGCTTGATTTTTTTTTTCTGTCCGTGGATTTTGGTACTGCACCTTTCCTCTTAAATGAATACTTTATATTCACTAAGTTACTGTGAACTTTTTCTTACCTGTCACCACCCAGTGACTGGAGTGGAGCTCTGAAAAGTTTGGATGTTACTTTACAAATTTAATATTTTCCAAAATGATTTATCAATTCTAGTAGCTTACCATCAGGAATTTGGTGACTCCAGATAAAAGGTTTCTCTACTCACACCCCTACCCCCAGTGTACTTGGTTCTCACCCCTCCCTTAGCATCCACAAGCTTGTTTTGCAAACCACTCTACTTTGCAAAAATAAACTTAACCTATCAAAATATATTTCACATTAGTTAAGAAAATTAAAAGGGCTGTACTTATCAGTGGTGGGAAATTTGTTCAAGAGAAAAACAGGCTTTGCCAAACCCATGTATGCATTAAGTTCCATTTTATGTGAGTCTTCCGTGTTTACTTACGAGACCTGGAGTAAAAGCTGAAGGCATCTGCTGCACGTTTGGGATTTCTTTCTTTATCACATGATTCCTTTTTCCTCATGATGGTGTGGACTTTACAAAATAAGCTCCTCCAGTGTTTTTTCTTTTCCTTTCTTTCAATGCTTCTAATAAATAAGAAAATGTGTTTCCATGGCTAAGCGAGCCCTGCCTTGTCGGACCTCACCTGCTGTGGCATCGCCCAGGGCCTGCTGAGGCGGCCTCTGCTCTGGCTAGTCTGGTTCTGCTGTTTCCTGAAGGCAGACACACCATGGAAAGGCCCAGAGGTGGCTGGCATTCCTGGCACCAGGGAGAAGGCACCCCCTTCCAAAAAGCCTTAAAGTGGTGGCTCTCTGGAGACTCCTGGGCACCACCTCCCCATTCAGTCCCGACTATAAACTCTTTTCTACTTGCACTCCCCCCATTCTGATGTGGCTCTTCAGGGCAGAGATGGGCTGCACAGTGTCATCCTTTCCATCTACAACCACCCCCGTTCTCCACACCCACTCTGCAGTGCCAATTCTTGTGGGCACAGAGTGTGTCCCTGACAGTGTTGCCTGTTGACACGGGGTGGGGTCCCAGGGTGGGGTCCAGGACAGTTGATCCTAGAGAGACCTGCGGGACATGAATGATGATGACTACCCCCCACTCACCCCGAGGAGGTCCCTCCGGACAGCAAGGAGCACTTCCAGGGTACAACAAATGCTTTGGAAGACTCTCACTTTTGCTCCAAGCAATGTGTGAAATGACCTGTAAGCAGTTATGCAGTCAGCAACATTCCCCAAAACCAGTCCTTTCTCACCATTCCACCCCCAGTACAGAAGACAGAGGGAGATGCCCTGCATGGACCCTCAGAAATAACTGGTATGTGCAGGCTCCGCGGTATGAATATGCTCTACTCAACTGGGCTGACTTAACACTTAACCCCAGGGACCACACAGAAGCCACTCTCACCAAACAATCCAAGTGATGTTACTGCTTCTATCCATTCTGCAAAGTGATTAGTTGAAATTTGCATTTTTATTGTTTGATTCTTGCAAAAAAAAAAAAAAAAAGAGTCCCGCCGGCCCCAATTATGTATGTACAAAATGATGCCCATTGCTAATGCATTTTTATTCATTCACCCAAGAGAGCATCTTAATACATACATGTGTGTACATATATCTGTGTATTTGCGTGTGTACATGTATACACACATATATATAATCAGTTCTTTACAAGGTGAAGTATACCAGTTGGTTTAAGGAGATAGGTTGAATCTGCTCAAGACCAAAGCAACCTGTTAATTTAATAAGGACAAGTTAGTAAAACCAGCTATTTGACAGTATCTATAAACAGTGGAGGATGACTTTAAATGAAGAAGTCAAGTCCTTACAAAGACCACTCCCATTCTGGTACTTCTGTGACCTCCTCCTCTGTTATTAGCTGCTCTGCCCCTGCAGCATGGGCCTGCCTCAAGGTCTTTGCACATGCTATTCCTCCTTACACCTGGAATGTTCTCCCCCAAACCACATGGCTCATCCTTCACTACCTGCCAGTCTTTGCTCCACTGTCACTTTCAAGGAGGCCTTCCCTGATTTATTTATTTATTTATTTATTTATTCATCTACTTATTTATTTATTTATTTATTTATTTAAAATGACAATACATCCCACCCTCGTACCTCCCTGTGCATTTTTTGTGCATTTACTGCCATCTGAGTGCTGCACATGTGAATTATTCACTCATTCATTTTATGTCCTTCCTCCAACCCCCACAGAATGTAAGCTCCACGTGGGCAGGAATTTTTATATGTTTTGCTCACTGCTGTATTCCTGGTGCCTACAACAGTGCCTGACCCATATTAGTCACTGGATAAATATTTGTTGAAGAAAAGAAATGAAATTAGTCTTCTAATAGCTATTAAGAGGCCTAATAATGCTAGTTTCAACCTTTCAAATCCATATTCCACTGTTTTCCTTAAGTGGGGAAAATTTTAGCTGATAAAGCATCCTGGCTACTTCTCCAGCCTGTGGTCCATGATGCCAGATGTGACAGTGAGCAAATCATCCTGACTGTGGCAGATTTCTCCATGTGTCTGTGAAGGCCTGCCTGGTGGCCCTCTCTCACAGATATGAGACTCAACTATTTACAGAAAGCTCTCTAGAACAAGTTGCAAGGCGGGTTGGGGCCGGGGGGTGGTTCCTACAGGGCAGCTTCATGGTCAGGCACATGGTGGTGGGCCTCCATGATGTTATTATGGAGACATCCTAGAGAATCCCTTATAATCAGTCCTTCAGACACTGTTCCTCCACAGTGTCTCCAGAGAGGCAGGCCTTCCTTCCTATAACAAACTCAGGTGGCAGCAAATGACCCAGCTCAGGGAAGGGCATCCCCTTCTCGTGCACCAAAAGCAGGCCTGGAGAGGAAGAGGAGCTTGTCACGCACAATAACGGGGGCAGGCATGGGTAACTGGATCGACAAAGTTGGAAGCAGCCAGGGCAGAGAGCCAAGACCCCTCCGAGTCTCCCCCTCCATCTTTGGTTGGTATGTGCTAGAGGGACAGAGCCTTGACCCTGCGGAGCCAAACACACACCTCCTTGGCCCTGGCCCCCCAGAGCAGGAGGCCCTCAAATGCAGTTAGGTGACCTCACCTGCCAGCAGGGGAGGGAAAGTTCCTCCTCACCCCTTCAGGATGATTTTCACAACTACCTAACCTTGGTGTTTACTTCCAGGTCCTTTGGCCAAATGTGTTTTCCTCTAAGAGTTGTCGGCAAAATACTGTTACAAGCTTCTTACAGGACCTTTGTCCTACTATAGCCTGGTTAAAAGGCTTTGTCCTTCTCTTTAATCCTCTTCCATGATTTGTGCTGTCATTTTTCTGGGTGCCATATCTTAGGGTCCCTCATGGGGGGGGGTGATGTGAGGTTGCCCTCATAACACTCCCTCCGCATCTGCCCAGCACACAGTAAGTGGGCCCACATGTGTGTGCCCGTTGCTTAAATTGCCAAATAATTTCCCTTTCATTGCTGCCCTAAGAAGCTGGGGGCGCATTGGTGCCAGTACTCAGAACACGAGCTTTCCCAGACTCTGCCCCCTTTGTCCACTCAAACCTTCCTCCGTGGCAGGTACCCGGTGGTCTGCCTTCTTCCCACACATTCTTCCCGCTTGCATGGAATGGAATCCAAACACCTGATTTGGAATTACAATTTGGCAGGCGGGAGTGGGGTAGCTTGTTCCCACTAATTTATGACCAAAACTAGTAAAACAACCATGATCATGGTTGGAAATCAGCCATGGCCTGGAGCCTCAGTATACATGGCAAACTCCACCTCTGACAGAGCCAGTCACCATGCAACACAGGAGGGAAGCCTGGGTCCTCTGTCACATCAGCAAAGGAGCTATTAGAGGTGCAGGGAGGCTGACCTGAATCTGCTCATGGCCTCATCTGCAGATCTTGAAGCCTGTTCACCATCATCTTTGATAAGTTGGTCTTGTTTTAACCAAGGGTTGTTGAAGAGTTTTTGCTTGGTTCCTTCAAACATGCATTTGGCCTATGGAGTCAGTGAATGTTGTTCCCCTGTTTCTTTCCCTTTTTCCTTGTTTTGATTCATTTGACCCACATGGGGGTGAAACGTGTTGCTTTGTTTCCTGCACTTAGTTGATTACTGTGGACAAAAGAAAACATGAAGGCAAAAATGGGTCATAAGTCCCCATTTCTTTGACCAAGTTATCCAGAGCCCTTTCCTCCCTGGGAGTGTTCATTCTAATTCAATGCAAATATTCTTTTCCATCTGGTCCATTCTTGGAGAAGGAACCCCTTATAAGAGCTGTCTTTGGTGGTCGGGTTGTTACTTTATTAAGTATTAAAGCACTAAACCAATTTTTGCAATATGTAGTAAATCTTGCTTTCATTTTGGAAAACTTCCAGTAATGACTACTGCACTTTTTATAGAAGAACTGTATTTCATTTCTTTCTTTTATGAAAGATTATTTCAAGTAAAAATAGCTCTGTAATCCGTGTGACACGGCTTCTCCATTACTTGACACAGAGAGAAGCTTTGATGCCCTAATCAATAAAATTAACATGTTTGTAAAGCATTGGTTGGTCCAGTTATTTGCTCACCCCTGTGTTCCTGGCAAAATAATATCTAAGAAAAGCTTTATGGCCCAGAGAAAGAAGACTCTATCAGGCATCCATTAACACCAGTATTTTTTAAATCAGATGAGATGTAAACCAGTTACCACTGTTTCATCTGGTAAGAGAAAGAATTTCCCTCCTTTTCAAAATGATCATGACACTTTTTTTTAATGTTTATTTATTTTGGAGAGAGACAGAGTGCAAGTGGGGGAGGGACAGAGACTGGGAGACACAGAATTTGAAGCAGGCTTCGGGCTCTGAGCTGTCAGCACGGAGCCCAATATGAAGCTCAAACTCACAAACCATGAGATCATGACCTGAACCGAAGTCAGACAACCAACTGAGCCACCCAGGTGCCCTGATCATGACACTTTCTATCTGAATGAAATCAACAGGATTTTTCTTTTCTTTCTCTTCTTTTTTTTTTTTTTTTTTTTTTTTTTTTTTTTTTTTTTTTTTTTTTTTTTGAGAGAAAGCGTGTGTGTGCACACAAGAGCAAGCAGGGGAGGGGCAGAGAGAGAAAATCTTAAGCAAGGCTCCACGCCCAGTTCAAAGCCCAACTCCGGGCTCGATCTCACCAAGAGATCATGAACTGAACTGAAATCAAGACCACTCAACTGAGCCACCCAGGCGCCCCTTCAACGTGTTTTTTCTTAACCTGTATATGCCAGAGGTGGCCACCTATGCAAGAGGACAACAGCAGGGAGAATAGAGGATGAGAGTGGGTTCACAGTCTGTCCCATGAGATCTGACACAGGAGGCTTCCTGTCACTTGTGGGAGGTTAGGGTCAGAGTGAGGGCAGGGGCATGTGAATTAGCATGGAAGGAGAGCAAAGGCGCTCAGCTGGCCTATGGGACTCTTTGGGCCAATGGCCTCTCATACTCCTGGGATCAGTGTTAAGGCCAGTACAACTCATCCATATCTGGCCCTGATGTTCTCAGTTCTCTCAGGATAGGCGGAGAATCCCACACAAAAGGCAGATTGTTCCGTTGGCACTGTATGGGATAGTGTGGGAGCCTTGCACTGGGAGACAGAAAGACCAGTTCAGGCCCTAAATTGCAATGACCTTAAGAAAGACACCTCTCCTCTCCAGACCCGTTTTCTGCACAATTTTTGCTTATTTTTTTTTAATTCCAGTATAATTAACACGAAGTGTTATATTAGTTTCAGGTGTTGTTTATTATTTTTTTATTGTTAAGTTTATTTATTTATTTTTGAG